AGCAAGCAACCATGATACACGCACATAGATTTTCAGCAAGCAGAGAGAAAACACCAGTGAAAGAGAAGCAGAACACATTAGACGCAAAAAAGACTGGACAAGAGAAAGGAAACACATGCAAGAGTAGATCAGTGAGAGCAGAGGGAACCCAGACGTTCACCCAAGAGGAAGATCCCGAGCTTCAGTAATAAAAGGCAGAAACGTAGCATGCATAAAAGGGGGACAGCGAAGAGAGGATGAAAGAAGGTAAAAAATAGAGGGATAGGGACCGAAGGACATGAAACAGAGAGCTAAGACTGAAAGGAGGGAGACCGAGAGAGAATGAAAAGCAGAGGCGAAGAAAACCCAGTGACAGAGAGTAGAAAGAGTCTGAGAGAAAGAAAATAGGGACTGTCATTCTGAAGGAGAAATAAAAGACGAGAAGGAGACGCAGAAAAAGAATGAGAGGAGGCTGAGAGGAGGAGTACGAAAAGAAGAAAGAGAGAGAGAGAGCAGTGGCAGGGGAAGAAGAGGATTCCTAAAGAGGAAAACGGAGGAAAGAAAATTAAACGAGAGAGAGACCAAATTTTTGATGGGAGGAGGAGAGAAAAATGAAAGAAAAAAAGAGCACACTCATAGAAAAGAAGAGAACGCAGAAATAGAGCATGCATGCATACATCTCCCGTCTCTTTCTCAATCACAGTCGAACTATGATAGACGTGAAAGAAGTTCTTGTGATCGTGATTATCATGTAGATGGGTTGGAGAGACCGAGAACAGATGAGGAAAACAAGAGATGAGAGGTACAGGAGAAAAGGAAGAGAAAAACTGAGAGGAGCACAACATAGCTGGACGAAGAAATGAAAAAAATAGAGTACTGATCCAAAAACTTAAAAAAAGAGACAGACCGTGAGAGGAAGGAAAGAACACGTGAAGCAGAGAAGGAGAAGGCAGGAGGAAGGAAAGAACATGAGGAGAGAGAGGAAGCAACACACAAAAAGGGAGAGACCGAGGAAGAGAAGAGAGAAACAAGACAAGAAAATGGAAAGAAAAATAGAGCAGGAGATGCGTCGGAGACGAGTCAAGTTGTTACCAAGTTGTTAGAAAATGGGCAGTAGGATTCACACTTGGAAATAAAGGAGAGGCAACATTGGAGAGCTGAGAAGGATGCATTATTTTGTGCTTATGTCAAATTGTGGAAGAACTACCTCAAGCTTGGCATCAAGAAGGGATCTCTTACCAAAGAAGAACAACGACTTGTCATCCGACGAGCTCTTGAAGAATCTGATTAAGGTACAAAAATGTGTATCAATCAGTTTTTAAAATATCTATCTGTTGAGTACAAGAAGAGTGGGATCATGTGCAATGTCAAGTATAATCTTGTTCCATTCTTTATGGTCATCTTTTACACGCACAACTTGGTCATGGCTTTGATTTAGCTTTTTCTTGTTTAAAATTTTATAGTTCTTTGAAAAATTTTGCATGCTTGCTTCATTCATTTAAATGATCATATTATTTTGGAAAAATTAAGAATATTCATATTAATCCACAAATAATTTTAAGACACGAACTTGATTTTGATTGTCATGGGAAATAAATTGAGTGATTAATGATGGTGATGATATGTGAATTTTGTTTATTCTAATTGTCCGATGCTATAACCATAATTATCATTATTTTCTTTCAAAAGCCATATTTGAGCATTAAGCCAATTTGAAAAACCTTGAAGAATACATCCTCAAGTCAAAAGAATAATGAATTTTCAAAATAGTTTATTTTTCTATTCTTTCCATTGCCTTTATTGTTTGAATTGTTTAGCCAATCTTAATATTATGCACCGACTGCAAATGCAAATGTTTTGGTTATCTATTTGTCATGTGAGATTTTAAGAATCTCCGTAGGCATTTAGAATGATTTCATACTGTGTAAATCAATAAGATTTCACAGGTATGAGAATCAATCTTATAATAAATATTTAAGTCTCATGTGAGATTTTAAAAATCTTCGTAGAGACTTAAATTAATCACATCATCATGTAGGATAATATATCTCCGCAAATATTATGATTCTCAATTTGTACATATTACATAAATGAATTTTGTAAATAAAATAAAAACATTTTTATAATTTTAATTAATTAAATTAATAAATTTAAATTATAATTATATTTACCCATTATATCTTTTGGTCATGTGAGATTTTTAAAACTCCATATACCTTTAAGATAATCGTACTACTGCGTGAGTCAATAAGGTTTCGCAGGTATAACGATTAAGATTTCTATATTAAAAAATATGTGTTATATAATTACATATTAAAATATATTCAAAGTGAATATTATTTAATCCTTTTATCGTGTGAGACTTTGAATCTCTGCAGATATTCAGGATAATCTCGTGTCGTGTAAATCAATAAGATTTCGCAAATATAAGAGCAAAACTTATATATTAAAATTAACTCTCCTTTTATAATCCAAATTAATAATTTATTTAAGTCTCATGTGAGATTTCAAGAATCTTTGTAGAGACTTAAATTAATCACATCATCGTGGGGATAATAAGTCCTCACAGATGTATTGATTATCAATTTTTATAATAAATAAATAATTTTTGTAAATATGAGATAATACATAATTTAGAAAAATTAATTAATCATATTAACGTATTTAAATTGTAATCATATTCACCAATTATATCTTTTAGTCATGTGAAATTTTTGAATCTCTGTAGACTTCTAAGATAATCATATTATCATATGAGTCAATAAGACTCTGCAGATATAATGATTAAGTTTTTATATATATATATATATATTATATTAAATTAATTAAATTAAAGATGTATTTAAATTTAATTCCTTTATCGTGTAAAATTTTAGAATCTCCGTAGATATTTAGAATAATTATATTACCGTATAAGCCAATAAGGCTATGCAGGTATGATGATTAAAATTCTTTAAAAGAAACATGTACATACATGCTTCAATAAATTATTACTAGCATTTAAAAATAAATAAATTAAATTATTAAATTTTTTTATCGTGTGAGATTTTGAAATCTCTGTAGATATTTAGAACAACTGCAGTACTATATGAATCAATAAGGCTCTGCAGGTATAGTAGTTAAAATTCCTAAACATAAAACATAAAAGAAAAATAATTTTAATTTTAAACTCTTTTCCTTCTTTATTCCAAAAATTCAAAAATTGAGAAAATAATTGAAATTAAATTACCTTTTGCAATTTAAAACACACATATCAAAATTTCAGAAATTGTTTTATTTGCAAAATTGTGAATTATTTCTAATTAATTTCTATTCAAAAATATTTTCACTAACAAACTTTTAAGTCCGAACTACGTGGACTTTGATCCCCATCATAGGGTACGTAGGCCTCAGAGTCAGATTTTGAGTCAAGTCTGTCTTCCCTCATAAATAAATAAACACTTCACACCTAATCATTTTTATATCAAACATGTGAATATAAAAGGGATAATTAAAATAATTTTAAAACTATGTTAATATAGCACAACAAACTTTAGGTAACCGTTCTCACGAACGAGTGTTGTAGGGTGCCTAACACCTTCCTCACACTCAACTGACTCCTGAACCTATTCTTTGATTTCACAGATCACCCTTATCCTCCATTAATTAGTTTCCTGAGATTTTCCTCAAAATCTTGGTGGCAACTCCTCATTCGATCCGATTCCCGCTGCGAAGGTTGGGGCCCTCGGTCTCGCGCTGTTCGCGTCGTATTTTTTCAGGTGCGACATGTGTCACATGTGTTGTTGTGATTTTGATTTTCCCTAATATTAAACTTTGTGCATTTTTAGCCAGTTGAAGATGAATAGAGAAAGAAAGGAAAATATTTCTAGTTATGCAACATTTGTTAAAGAATTCTATAAGAAGAATAAAGGCAAGTATAAATTGATTAGGAAAGGACAGGAAGATTTGTTAAAAGCATGGGAGAAGTTGTCAATAGTAAAGAGGGAATAATATTCCAAGAAAGCAAAAGAGGAGAGAGGAGAGACATCTACAAAATATATCATACTCTTTCATACTCGTTACTCTCCCAGTCAGTTTTCAAAAGTTGCAAAGTATGTTAAGAGAAAGGACAAACTAAGAAAAATGTGTGAGAAGATTAGGTTTGACAAACTAGTTAATATAGAATGCAAAAAAATACATAGAGATATTTATGAAGAGTTGATGTGAGCACTTAAACCCCCTAACATAAGAAATATGAATTAGAGGGAGTGTGAAAAAAATAAATGTAAAGGATGTGCAAAAGTTGATAGGCATAAGGAATGATGGTAAGGAGGTAATTGGAGATACAGATATTAATGACAAATCATTCAAGAAATTGAAGGAAAATTACTTTAGAATGCCCTACAAGAAGATTTTGAAAATGATCACATATGGGAAAAAGGATGCTCAGTTTAAGTTGTTTTTCTTAATTATACTTTGGGAACTATGTTGTGTCTAACAGCAAGTATAAGGGTCAGTGATCATATTTTGAAGGTTGTATATGAAACACGTAAAGTAATTGATAAATATGATTGGGTAACATATGTGTTTAATGAATTATGCAATAAAGTATATATGTGAAAGCAATAACTCAGTAAAGGGAAGATAACTGGAAGGAAGAATGTTGAAGGATGCATCTACTTTCTTATGGTAAGTGTGTAGTTGTAATTTATAAATTAATAGAACGCGAATCATTATATCTTGAAAGTAATGTGTCAAATTTTATGAATGTTTATTGATTCCAATATTTTTCTCTTAACCAAGAAGAAAGACCTAAGCTCGATGATGCCCTCCCATATTAAGATGAGGAGAAAATTGTTGAAAGAGTAAAGGTAGAGAAGAAGAGCATCTAGAACATATTGCATGATCCTATGAGTGCAGATTGTAGTTCATCTACTAAGTTTTACCCAACATGTGCTTTTAGTCACCTGGTATGTATAGAAAGTGGTCCTATATTTATGTATCAATTTTGACATACGGAGACACAATTTGTTTTGTAGGAAATGAGAAAGATGTATGCAAGAGTAGTGTCTACACTTGGTGAGAAGCTAATGAACCTACTATTGAAACTTTTAGGGGATTTAGAAAATATTGAAAAGATAAAAGAAGAGGGTGATGAAATAGAAGAAGAAGCACTTGAGCATTTTAAAGAAGAGGATGAAGAAAATGAGGAAGTTGATGAGCAAAATTCAAAAGAGGGTGAAGAAAAATATAAAGAAGATGATGAGGAAGAAGATGGTGAAGAAAAATATGAAAAAGCTTATGAGGAAAGTTTGGAAGAGGGTGAAGAAGAAGATGAAGAAGCAGATGAGGAAAATGTTGAAGAAGGTGAAGATAAAGATAAAGTAAGAGATGAGGAAAAATTTAAAGGGGATGGGGATGACAGAGAAGAGAAAGAAGCAGAAGGGAAAGGAGAGGAGACCAATTGTATACATGAAAGTATGGATAAAGAAGATTCTCAAGCGGAGGGGGAAGTAGAAGAGGTAAATATACATGAAGATGAAGCAAAAAAAAAAAAATAGAAGCAGTAAAAGGAAATAGAGAACTACAAATAGTAGAAGTAATGGAACATAGGGGATCACAAAGGTATAAAAGACCTGCCGTGAAGTCTCCCTGGGTAAAACCTGGTCAAATAGAGGATCACACACTAAGTGAACTATGTTTCTAATGAAAGGCTATTGGTTTTCATCAACAGGACCTTTATGCATATGCATGGATATTTCTTAACTTGTGCTGAACTTCAATGTCTTAGTAGAACTAGATGAATCAGTGATAGGGTATGCAAATTGTAGTTAATAATTTTTTGACATTGTTTGGATATTAACTTAATGCTCTTGTGACACTATTTCACTAATTATAGTTTATGACAATGGTTACTAAAACATTGGTTGGAGACCAAAAAGAGAATGAAAGGAGAGTTAGGAGGCACATTTTTGGTTTAGAGTTCATGGTTAAAATGGTACATAACCCTTAGGCCTGGACCGTTAAAGACAACAACAGAGAAATACTCCCTGAGTATTTAGGATATAATATTGGAGATTGTGACTTTATACATGGCCTTGCTTTATTTGTTGGTCATTGGTGGTGCTATGTGTTCAAGACCAAGACTAAAAGCTTCTATATCTTGGATGCATTAGTTAGCATTTTTGAGTATGAAAGGAGAAAGAAAGAGGATGAAAATGTTCAAAAGGGCAAGAAGCCAGTCATGAGAAAGAGGAAAAAAATAGGACAAGTGGATGTAAAGGAAAAGTTGGCACATACTTGTGTATGTTTGCACTTGTCATTTGCTTTATATTTACTTATCATTTCCTTATGCAAAGTTATTAATGGACATTGTTAACTTTTGTGCAAAGGGATTGCTACCATTAAACGCTCCTTGCTGTTAAACCAAATTTATTTAAGGATGACATGAAGCCAGATGTTATGTGGCTTAAAGTTTGAGTGTAGAAGGATGCATGAGTATTATTGATTCAGTACTTACGTTTGATTTTGTCGTTGTTGCAATTGAGTTGACTAATTTAGTACTTATGCCAAAATTTTGATTGCAGTCATTCTGGTGGTGTTCACATCATCATATGGTTATAGTCATAGGATAACACTTACTTGGATGGCGACTGTTATGTCATGCCAAAATACTCAAATGTATGAATGTTTTGTCTACCACTTAAGTATAACATGAAAACTATACATTGATGATCTTTCTGACATGTATACTTTATTACAGGATGACCTCCAATAGAAGAAGATTGAACTATTGTGGTGGCTTGTCAATCATTGCAACAATGAGAAGGAACCCATTATAATGTTTATGTTATCAAGATCCCATAAAGACAAAAAGAGAAGATAGAAGGGTTACTAAGCTGTGTATATCATTTTAGGGGGTAGAAGTATTTAGGATATTGCACTTTGTAAATTTACTTACTTTGTTATGCAGTGTTATCACTTTTTTAGACTCAATAATTTTGAATATTACAAAATATGTACATGCTTAATATCAATGTTCACTACTAGATTTAATGCTTATATCATGGTATTCACAAGTTAAAATGTTTTAATTGGGCCAACAATTGTTGACAAGTAGGCAAAGGGAAATAACAATAGCATAAGGGGGATTGATAAGCTGAGTATGAGGAATGACAACTGGGTGAGAGATATCTACAACTTGACATGTTTAAAGTGTAACAAGGATATGAGCAAATGCACAATTGTCATTTACAAGTGGACAAGGGGGAATGACAATAGGGTAGGGGGGATTGACAATCTGGGCAGGGGGAATGATAATTGGGTGAGAGACATTCACAACTTGCCATGTTTTAAGTGTAACATGGATCTAAGTAAATGCACAATTGTCATTCACAATTGGGCAAGGCAGAATGACAACAAGGCAGGGGGGATTAACAAGTTAGGCAGGGGAAATGACAACTGGATGAGGGATATTCACAACTTGCCATGTTTAAAGTGTAACACAGATCTAAGCAAATGCACAATTATTGCATGTCAATCATTAACAACTGGGCAAGGGAGAATGACAAGTTCCTATTCATTCATTGTCAACAGGGCTTACATCAATATTTATAACTTCAACATATAGAGCAGCTATAGAAGCATCATCCATGCATTTACATAATATTGATAACCCATTCTAAAAATAAATACATTGGTTGCATGGATATACTGCACCTTCAGATGAATTTATAAAAAAATAACATATGCCTTTACAAAAAAAATACCATATGCATTTTCAAAAAGATATCAGCTACATAAACAAAAAAAATATTGTCAATCTATACTACACACACCATATTGACAACTACTCATAGCATATTGATAACTGAAACTTTAGCAATTAACAACACACAAGATATTGTCAACCTGTACTACAAATAATGTATTGACAACTATCCATAAGATATTGACAACTTGAGCTTTATCTATTAACAACGCACACAAGATATTCTCAACTTGCACTACACACAACATATTAACAATTACCCATAGCATGTTGATAACTTATGCTTTAACTATTAACAACATATCTTACTATCTCATGATAGACTTATCAGCTCAACCAAGTAGCACTATATTCTTGAACATACTATCACTAATGCAAGGCTAGTGACCACCCAAGATAAATATATCGGTCAAGAGAGAGAGGGAGAAAGAAAGAGAGAGAATACCCATGATTGATATACCCATAAAGAGAGAAATAGACAACCCTATTCTATCAACAAATAATAAAACACCAGATTAACTTATTAACAAGGAGTATATGCAAACCAATCTCATCATTTACCTAGTTTTATGAGATCAAACTATTTGATTCTTTAAAGCTCAAAGCTGGGTGCAAGTTGGCTTGAAGGTAGGCATTCTTCCTTCACAAATTCCTACCTACATCAAATTGATGATGATCGTGACAATGGGTTCAACTTCTAGCTATAAGACGATTGCGAAAATGGGTTCGTCTTCTTCCTTCACAAGCTGGTCTTGCTTTCATCACGTGTGAAAATGGCTCCCTCTTTCCTCTTTCCATCTACTATCCCAGTCTTTACTAGATCAAATTTTACACTGTAATTCCCAAGTCCAACTGTTGCACTGAGAAAAGTTATAATGTTTCTTCCTCATTTCAAGGAAATAGGTGTCTCAAATATGAATCCATTCCCCCATTAGTTGAATTTAGACCCTTCATATTTTTTGTTGACAAAACTGTGAAGAACGTGACCCTTGGTGTCCACTTGAAGGGTTGCATTTTTCCAAATGGATGCGTCTTTAATACTAATAGTAGTCATGTACCATAAGTGGTCACTGGCATCTAATGTCAAGTCTTTTTGTTCAAGAAGTTGGTTTGCTTTGAATTTCCCATTTCCCTTCATGGTATCTTTCATGGCTTCTGGTCACCATGCCTATGTGAGTTTATCAGGAGGCGACTCGTTATCGTCATTTTTCTTCACCATTATTGACGTTTGAGATCTAACCTTTGCAGTATTGAAGATGTCTTTACTACAATTATCGATAATGGTCACAGACCAAGCAGGCACAAAGTGCTTGTCATTACCATCTTGTAGATCTATATATGCATCTTGGCGTCCATTGGCATTGCTCAAGAAGAAAAATCTTCCTCCAGTGCTGTTACTAATATATATGGTCAACATGATTGAATTGCCAAAATCCTTGTGAGTTCTTGTGCCGTTGGTGAGAATCTTCTCCCCCAGTTTTATTGCCGCATGAAGCTGCTTAAGATGCCCCCATTTTGGTTGATTCAAATTTCCATGCTCATCGATTGGTGCATCATAATCATAAGATATAATATATGGACCACCAGCATTTTGTCCAAATTTTGTTCCTCTGTGGTACATGTAATAATTATTGAGCACCCCACCATTCTGGAAAAAACGAGCAACTGAGTAAGCAACATCTTCAGCAGTCCTGTGGGGATTCCTTTCACCCCGTTTTTGAAACCATCCAGTTCAGTTTTCGTACCACACTCTTTTTGGGTTGTTGGGTTGAAAAGTATCACAATAGTACCCATTATATGTATTGATTATTCCCTCTGGAGCATCATTTTGCTGGCACATAAACCATGGAACACCAATGTTTTGAGGTAGAGCCATTTGAGCACACCATTTCACATATTCCTTCCCTGCATCTCCATAACCCCACATGATATTTCCATACTCATTCTCAATCTGTGCAAGAATAATGGGTCCTCCTTGTGATGCAAAGAGCTTGGCCTCTTTGGCAATGTTCACTATTTTTGAAGTGAAAACCTGCATTTCATCTTGAAAACTTGGTTATCAGTTCTCAATTCAACCCTGGCATTTTGTGCAGCCACAGTTGGAAGCCTCCATAGTTCCACTCCGCACCAATATAAGGACCAATCCTTAGAATGGCATATAGTCCTGCTTGTTCGATTAGCTTGAAAAATTTGACAAAATCCAAGTCGAACAGGTTCATGGCGATCCCAAAAGACATAAGTTTCAATGGCATCAAGACCTCCATCCTTGGCCTTTTGGATAATACCAGGCCACATCTCCACTGTGCTTTGTGGATAGTGAACTTTTCCAGAAAAAATGATGCGCCTTTCTCCATTGATGATGAGAGATTTTCCATCATATGATACCTCTGTGGCAGGGCATAAGCCAAGAAATGAAATGATGAAAATGATGATCTTATCCCAAGATGAGGAAGAACCCATTGTTAAGATATTCCTCAACTTTGTGATTTCTTCTTGAAAATATGTTTGAGTTTATATACAACTAAAAAGCCTTGTGTTGAAGTATCGAAAATCTTAAAATTTGTTAGCTTGGTTGAACGAGTTCTATTTTATTAGAAAAAAATATATATAAATAACTAATATTACTGGGTTGACCTTTAAAATAGATCATGATCTATCCTAACTTCTAAACCAAACAACTAGTGTATTTAGGTGCGGTATACACTTTAAAATAGTAAAATAACAAAGATTGATTTCTTAAACTTTTGTCGTTTTGGATAAAATATTATAAATTTGTAGGCCCAGGGCAAGTGCTTTATTCGTTGTGACATGCTTTCTATTGGTAATTGCTGTAACTTTTCTATTGTTAGGAAATTAGCATTTACCCTTGATGCTATGCATGGGGAGCAAACACTTTCATTTTATTCAATCAAGGAATGATTTATAAATAGACATTATAAAAAAGTTAGAATAATCATTAGCAAACAGACATCTAAATCATATTGTTGTAATTATAATGTTTTTGAATATGAAGGAATTAAATTATAGTAAATTTCTTTAAATGTGAAGAAAAAGAAAAAAAATTAAAAAATGAGTTTATCAATAAAGAAATGGTATGGAAAAAAAATTGACATTAAATTATGCAATTTTCTTTTAAGGAAGAAATACACATTATAAGCTGAGATATAATGTAAATATAAATTAACAATCCAAAAGATTGAATAAAAAAAACTTAAAATAATGATCAAGCAAATCAAAATTTAAGTTGACCGTGATACTTATCCAAAGTGCTGAATTATACCATCAGTACATAGAATCCTCCGGGGGGAAAAAAACAGCTTTTGCCCATATATTCACAGGCATGGTACGAATCCAGTCAACAAAAACACGTGCAATGGCTTCCATTAAAAAAAAAAACATATCATAGCTTTGGGTTGTCAGCATCAATTTAGTCACAATTTAGTAACAAACTAGAAATAAAAATGAATGAATTGATTAAAAATGACGGTGAAAGTGATATCTGTATAATATATTTCATAATAATAATATATATGTAAATAAATCAGTCGTTAGACCCATATATTAGGCCTTATAAAAATAAGTTTGGTCTAGATTAAATTAAAAATTTAAACCTAATCTAGCTTGTTTAGTAAATAAATTATGATAAGCTTAAAGTAGGTCAAGCTGTAAGCCAGATTGTAGGCTTTTAATAGAAGCATAATCTACTTCCACCTCTAAGTGTGAGTAGTATTCAATTCATTAATTTACTTATTTACAAGTCAAGTTTAAAAGATTTATAAGTTATCTTGTACTATTTTTGCATTGAAAAAATTTTAGAGAGATTTGATGTATCACATGATCCATAATCTATTCAATAAAAACATAATATTTAAATAATATTAATGTAAATCAATTCTGATATTAATAATAATAAAAAAAGAAAATATAAAAAATTAAATAAATGTTTTATTATAAAAATAAAATTATTAAAAATAATAACATATAAAATATCATGAATGGGGTGATGCACCTTTTTATATAAGGATTGCTCTTTTCACATAACTCGACGCGGAATTTATTTGTAATAAGTCAAATATGTAGAGACATATTAGTAATTAATTTTTTAATAATTTTTCTCCCTTCTAAGCTGCCGCTTGTTTAATCCGATCAGATCCATTTTGCCTTTAAAAAAAAAAAAATTGACTGGGGTCAACTCCAGTCTATATATAGTCATTTTCGATGACATCGCTCAGACGCTCACAATTTTTTGGGAGGGTGGGGGGGGGGGGGGAAGGGAGGCTCTTGTACTGTTCTACTCCAATGGAAGCTGTTTCAAGCCTTTTGGGATCGGTGTCGAGTGCTGTGAGCATTGTGTCAAAAGGTCTAGAGGCCAAAAATATTCTCAAAAACCTCCCCTCCACCACCACGAATCTGCGTCCGTTGCTTGAACACTTGGAACGAGGCATGAAGACGATGGATCTCCCAACTATGGTAACTGAACTCATACAGAAGCTGAAGGACATGAACGAAGCAAGCCAAGAGGATGTGGACAAACAAAAACTCACTTGGTCAAATTTCTGCTTTGCCTCATGTTTTCTTGGCGAATATGATGAAGCGTATCAGTCCGTCAAGAGTTTCTTCGCCTTTGAGATGCAAGGGATGATGCTAACCTATCTGATGCGTGTTGATTTTAAGCTTAGCCAAACCATCGCAGTTGCAGCCCAAGACTGCTAATAGTAACAGCGAATCCATATTCCCCGAAATTAGGGATACGGTGAAGTTGGATGGTCAATGTCGAACTATGTACAGCTTGAAGTATGTGCTGCTTCATGACAATCAGCAGGTCCTGAACTTGATTGGTTTGCCGGGATCTGGAAAGACCACTTTGGCTGAAACACTGTGTCATGACGATGACGTCAGAGGTAACATAAAATGTTTATCTCTAATTGGAACAGAGTAAGCACATTTTTATATCAAACATATATGAGGAAACATGAAACATGCTCCCAGTAAAGTTCCTATACAGGAAACATTTATATCTTGAAGTTAATGGCAATTCATTCCTTTTTGTTTCAGCAGATAAATTCAACAATAGCATCATCTTTGAGAAGATGGGGTCGCAGGGTAAAAGCAGAGAAGCGTTCATGAAATTGAAAGAAAAATTGTCCAATCAAGCATATCCGGTACTATTGGTACTGGATGATGTTTTGTCTGACTGGGAAAATATCATTGAGTGGTTAACGGGTTCAAGATCACCGGATTCTAAAATCTTGGTGACTTCAAGAGGTCAAATTACAACGCTTGGCACCACATACAGCATGGAATTGCTTTCTCCCGAAGATGCAGAAATCCTTTTCCTTCACTTTGTTCGACCAAGTGACATCGACTTTGGTGACCGTCGAATACGTGAAATGCTTCGTCAGGTAACACACACACACACACACACACATATCAGGATTCTTTGATTTGTCTGGATGAGCCATGAGATGTTGCATAAATATGATGTGTCAAAAGTCAGAACTGAATAATTTCATTTCATCTTTATAGAGTTCTTTATTATTTGCTTTGATTTTTTAGAGATGTATGGTTAGACAGAAAATATGATAATAATATGAGCAGGAAATAATTTGATACACAAAAGGAAGGAAAAGGCATAACCTTAACTAACTGGAGTCACTGGTTGTATCTGGTTCCACTTAAATGCAGATCGTTAACGGCTGCAAGGGCTTAGCTTTGGCTATTGAATTCATGGCTCGAGACCTCCGAAGGAAGCCTATTGAAGAGTTTCAAAAGGTGCAGTCAGATTTGTCGCGAGGTGGCTCTATTCTTGATTCAAATGAAGACTTGCGTGCTCGTCTCCAAGATTTCTTAGATGAATCCAACAAGGAGTTTTTTATGGACCTTGGGTTATTCACTGAAGATCAAGATATCCCCATCACTGCATTAATAGACATGTGGATTGAACTGTACGAACTAGATGAACTTGGTATATCTGCTATGATCGCCATCTACAAATTAATAGCCCTGGGTTTTGCTGCCAGGATCAAAGTGCCAAGGTAATTAAATTTGTGTCTGCAATATTATTTATTACCTTCAAATTCACGCTCAGGCTTTTGATATTCTCACATTTGAGTTTTGTTTGTTTAAGCAGGGCTGGTGGTAGCGATCTGGACAATTACTACAGTAACCACTTGCTCATGCAGCATGGTCTTTTGAGAGAGCTGGCCATCCGTACAAGCAACGAGGAACCAGCTGAGAGTAAGGGAAGACTGATCCTTGACATGTTTGGAAATCATCAGCGTCCTTAGTGGTGGCCCAAGCGCAGAGTAGATGCTCCTATGCTGTCAATGTCAACTGGTTTGTTTAATTACCTCTTTCCATCTCTATTATTGTCTTACTTATGCACAGTCTCACGCACTTTACAATCGAAATGAATATAAGATAGCTTTTAATGCTATCCCATTCACCTTCTTCCACATTTTTATACAGATCAAAACGCTGCTCCAGAATGGTTCAAAAATCAAGCAGCTGGTGCTGTGGTTCTGATTTTGAATCTTAAGGCTAGAGAGTTCAAGTTGCCTGAATCCATTAAAAGAATGAGAAACCTGAGGGTTCTTATTCTCACCAATTATGGTGTGGAATATCAAACTGAATTCACAAACCCAGGGCTGCTTGCTTCTCTAGGGAAACTGAGGAGGATCAGATTGCAGCAGGTTTCACTTCCTTACCCATGCAAACTGAAGAACGTGCGCAAGTTATCTCTTTACATGTGTAAAGTGAGGGAGGCTTTTGAAGACAACTCTTTGGAATTCTCAAAAGCAATGCCGAGTCTGGTTGAGCTGAACATTGATTATTGCAAAGATTTGGAGAGGTTGCCTGCTGGGTTTTGCAATATAACCACAATGAAGAAGCTGAGCATCAGTAGTTGCCACAAGTTTGTTGAACTTCCCCAAGAAATTTGGAAACTTGAGAAGTTGGAGTTGCTAAGAATTAGTCACTGCGCTGAGTTTAAGGAGATGCCGGAGTCAATCACTTGGTTGAAGAGTCTAATCTTTCTCGATATCTCATACTGCATAAAGCTTGAGAAATTACCGGACAATTTGGGAGAGCTAAGGAGCCTAAAACAGCTGTATATGACGAATTGTCCAGTAAATAAATTGCCAGAGTCGGTCGTCCACATGGAACAATTAGAGATTGTGATATGCGACGAAAATACTTATGTTTATTGGGAAGATATCAAAGCTTGTCTCAACAGAGGACTATACATAAAGAAGGCCGCGCAAAATGCAGACTTAAATTTTCTTTTCTGAAGATGATCTCTCCTCAGGCTTCAACCTTGGACTCTGGGTTTACCAAAGCTGTTTTGTCTTCTGAGTTTTGAGTCATCTCGAGACATTCCTTTCCCTGCTTTTGGTCGATTGGCTTGTCTGTTTGCTTGTTTTTTTGGGTTGTCCTGAAAATTACCTCACATGTCCATATCAATATTGTATCCGATATCGATATTCATCAATACTTCTTTGATATGTATTCATAAAGTATCAAGATAATATTTTTTTCTAATTTAAAAATTTTAATTTTCGATACGTATCCGATACTTTTAAATTATTAATTGATACTTGAAAATAAAAATTTAAAAAAATTAATGTTATTAAAACTTGTAATATTAAAGTTTTTATTGCTAATATTATTTTTTGATTTGCTTTTAAAGTCAAGTATTAGATTTTCATTAAAAAAAATTTTGAACATGATAAGAGAATGCATATTACATTTTTTTTAATTATAAAAACGTGAAAATGTAATCTTATAACAGTCGAAAAGAAGAAAATATTGATAGTATACCTATTAATAAGGATTAGATGGTAGGCAATTAGATATAAATAAAATAAAACTATAATTAATGGGTATATTTTACTTGGTATTATTATGAAGGACTATATATATATATATATGTTAATTTGAATATTTTTTAAATTAAAATTATATTTTCAATATTTTTGATAAATATATATATATATACACGTATAAAAAACATCGTATTTTTTATTTTTTAAAAATTAAAATGTCAATATATTGAATATGTATCCGATATGTGTATCAATATTCGTGTAAACTAAGTTTGAACAAATCATCATTAGTGCAGAGTAAACTTGTACAAGAGATTGCTCGGTTAGAGGGTCTGATATGCGCTGACTATGCATGCACATCCTTCCATTTATGGTGCTTAATTAATGCATTGAAATAATATTGATTATGGTATTTCAGATATTTGTATTTACTGTAAACTAAGACTCTTCCTCCGTCTCAAAATATGTCTTTTTAATTAGGAGAACTTTTTGTTCATTATACATGTCATTTTATAAATTTAAAACAGTACTATTTATTAATATTTTCTTTAATATTAATCTTATTTATTGTAGCAGTTACAAAGATCATTTATTAAGTTTTAGAAATAGATTTGGCAATGGGGCTAATATTTTGTGGTGTTGATTACAAATCAATGTGCTGAAACCTTAAAAGATTTACATAATTTGAAATAAATAGAGGAAATAAAATTTAGAAATTTAAAATCGTCACGACCATACAACAAAAATTCATAAGGCTGTCGTTTTAGTACTGATACAGACATCAGTTACTCATTATTGCTAGGAGAAAATTTAATTTAATCACTATTACTATTGTTTATTAAAAATTTAATTATTTGATTAATTTGAACCATTCCAATTTATTGATATTAAAAAAGAGTCTCTTAATCATCCTTGAGCCTTCGTTTGATCTGAAATCAATGTAAATATTTACCCATAATTATTAATATATTATTATGAGTGATATAAAAAGAATAGTGTGAGGTTGTGCCGAAATCTCCTGTCTATTTAACTATTTTATCAGTACGATTAATAATTAAGTGTATAATTTATCATTGATTGAGAATATATTGTCAAAGTCAACAATGCACGGAACAGTTGCCCAACTTTTGGTTAATCAAATAAAGTGAGAGAGCGAGCATTTGGTCGGTCACTTGGTTGTGCTTGCGCGTGGGATATTAGGAAATCACGTGACTCTCATCGATCAGTTTCAATCTTGTACATTACTGGTTGGCACTTTTATTAGGATTGGTGAATTCTCATAACGACAATGAAATTATTAAATTGTTTGGAATTAATAATACTCCATATAATACATTTAAAAAATAAAATTAAAGTTATTTTTTATTTTATTTTATTTTTTTGATATTGTAACTTAATTTTAAATTTTAACTCGATATAATTCAATTTTTTTATTTTAATTCAGTTGTAATTTAATTCTTAAATTTTAACTTAATATAACTCAATTCATATAATTTAAATTATTTATTATTTAACACATTGGTCCCTATATTTCAAAAATATAAATTATTTTAAAATTTTAATCTTCATACATTTACAAAGTTTAAAGTTTTAGTCATGTAAAATATTAATTTATATATTTTTAAAATAATTAGATTTTATACCGTGCGATGCATGGAAACATTAATCTACATTATTTAATAAAAATAAAAAGAAAGAGTGAAAAGTTAAATTTTATTAATTTTTTTAAAAAGACACAAAAAAAAAACAATTATAGCTTCTAATTTCTTTAATAACTTCTATTAATTATATTTTTTATTCCTAGTATAGTATTAGAATTTTTTTAGTTATTATAATATATAAATATAAATAATAATTTATTTTATTTTCACATAATATACAAAAATTATTACTAACATTTTATTTTAAAAATATAGGTTATTTTTAACTGAATTTTACCCTTAATAAAGTAGTCATTTATTTTAAATTAATATTATATTTTTATATTTATCTTTATTTAATAAAATATGTTATTTTAAAATAAATATAAAGTGACTTATTTATTATGAGGATTTTTTAAAAAAAGCACATTAATCACACCTTGAAACAAAAAAAAATCTTATATTTTTTTTAACATTTAACATTCAACTTCTAACTCCTTAAAAAATATTTTATATTTTTAAGTGGGTGAATATAGTTTATATTTTAAAAAGCTAAAATATAAAATATAATTTAAATTTAAATTTATGTTATTAAAAAAAGTTTTTACTACAGCGCCAATCCGACGCGAATTACGCAGGGGGAGATATTATAATATTCGAATATCTAATATTATAATATTATAATAGACAGTGAGAAGATTTAGAATTTGATTGAGATTTGTCGTTAACTGGAGAATTGTTCATCTACTGTAGAGCTAGCCATCCCACGTTAATAAAGGTAATAGATTAGTGCACTATTATCTCCTGATGCCCCATGAAACAACTCTTTCGTGTACAATGCCCCTGAATGCACAAAAGGAATTTTCTTTTCAAATTTCTTGACTGATTTGAGGAGACGGCAAACATCGTATTAAATTTCTATTTTCATATCATGAAAGAAGAGTTGAAATGCAAACAACACAATACACATTTACTAATGTACTTACACACATACATACAAGCAATTAATTCATTGTGCTTGGTTCATTAATATAATATGCCCCCTCTTCAATTATTGAGGAAGGTCAAAGCACAAGCTTCTACCCCAATAAGTGAAGTTATTGCAATCTAATGTTCAAGAGTATAAATTTTTGAAGAACTTCGCCTGTGATAGAGTTCCAAGATATTACACATCTTTATACAAACGACATGAGCAGATAAACATACATGTAAAAGAAGAAACTACAGCATATTTTGGTACCTCACATGTCTCGGTCTAATTCATACAATTTAACATGAACATAATTGTCACTCTGGAAGTGAGAGGTGCCATTGGGTTTTCATAGTAATGGGATATTACTCTTATTTACATTTGTGAATTCATGAGTTTAAAATTTTCAAATAAAAAGGAGGCCATATCTATCCATTTTCATTTCCTTTGAAGCTCTCATGCCCTATTTGGTAGCAACAAATTATAGGGAAAGAAGTGGAAGTGGACCAATATTTTTGCCCATTTGGTATCATGGAAGCTAATTCTCCATGGAACCCAATACCATCAAAATTGATGGAAGTGGGTCACATGCCTCAATCGATAGAAGTGATGGGTTTATATTCTTTTTGGACTCTTTTACCCCTATCTTCTCCTTCCCTCTTCCATCTTGCCATCTACTCACTGACCCTCCACCAGTGATGGTAATAGTCCTCTACCAACAATGACTACAACAATCCTCTGTTGGTGATAGTGATGGCGATGATGATGATACTCCGCCCAGCATCCTTCATGCAACCACTGCCTTGTATGATCATGGCCTGACTAACAACAACGATAGCCCAAAGCTTTGACTAATCAAAGGCATTAATGATCTCAGAAGTGAGCAAATCGGCTCGGGTGGAGCAAATCGGCTCGGGTGGAGCAAATCAACTCACTTGTAGATCTTCATCTGCTTCCATGTAGCAAATTGAGTTGCTGATGAGGTTCCCCCCCCCTCAAATTTCATTGTCTTGCTCTCATTCTTGAATGTAACAACTTGATAATCATTGTGCACTTCTCATTTTCACTCTCGTTGACATTGAATAAGGCTATATTATCATTCTGATTACACCTTTGATTTGATTCTTGATACTTCTTTTTCTCTTAATGTCATGTCCTAAAAATAGAGGATGACTAGCAAGAGGTGTGAATCATATCACATATCCCTGTAATCCTCAAATTGGAAATGCATTCCATTTCTAAAATAAATTCATCTTTATATTGAAATTTTAACATTCTTAATACTAATCATTAAAATAGAAGCTAGCTTCAAAATTTTTGTAGAAATTGTAGCAGAACCTCTCCTCTAAATAGGATCTCCTAAAAATTCCACAATATATAATTTTTCACAAAATAATCCATTAATTAAGAGCTTAGCTCCTTCTAAACATGAAACAAAATATATAACAAATAAAGACCCTAGCTATAGTCCATGTGGAGCCCCTAATCATATTTTCAAAAATAAAATCCAGAAGTATTTATAATTACATCAAAAGGAGAATTTCAATCAACTTTTCACCCAGCACATCTAAAAGTCCTTAAGGGTCAATAGGAGGATTAGCATCTGAGATCAAAAATAATTTTCAATGAATAGCATCCAAACAATAAATAATTAAATATGTATGAAAGCAAAGTTTAAATAATTGGTTGTGATAGAGATGACAATTTTCAAAAATAAATATTTCACAAACTTCAACATTAAAGGGCTCTATGAAACTTTAAATAAAATCTTGATTTATTAAATTATCATATCAAACGTTATTATCATTTAATTTCAACAAAGCAAATAACTGCATTGAATAATTATAAATATGTCACTAATCAAAACCAATGAAAAATAGATCCATCACATAATTAAGACTCATAATTATAGGAACTTATCAAAACAAGTAAAAATGTGGACACACAGTCCATGAGAGTAAATAACCAAATGCGGCTTACACTATAAAGACAAGCGTGAGCTCAAAGTACATGAGGGTAAGTAACCAAACGTGGCCTGAACTATAAAACAAATGTAACCCTC